AATCTCCACTGCCACTATTGGTAGAAAATGCCTTTGACTGACTCCAACCAAAAGATACTCCTCTCACAAAAGGCTTACTTTTCTGTTCCTTTTATTGTAATAGAACACAATGTACAGGCACAGAAGCAAGATACAGATACTCAGCTCTTTATATTTGTTTAAGGCACTCAGGTACAATAACCCCCCACATGTTAAGTATAGATAGATACAGGCATAGAGAAATAGCTATGGATAAAGATATAGCTAAATATACAGCACATTTCCAGCAACCCAGAAGCCTCCTTACCCCAGATCCAGTATATCCTCCCTGACAATGTAGCCATTTATTATGACCTCTAGCTTCATGGATTAATCTTTTCTGGTTTTGACCTTCACCTAAATGGAATCCCACAGTCGGTAACCTTTAGATATGGTTACTCTCATTCAACATTATGACTGTGGCTGTGTATCTCTGGATGCATTTAATAGCAATTCATTCTTTGTTGTTGCTCAGTTGTATGAATACACTACAATTTGTTCATTACTGGATTTTTTTTTTTGAGGCAAGGTCCTGCTATATAGCCTAGTAGCTCACTCTGGCCTGGAACTCACCATTTATCCCAGGCTGGCCTCAAACTCATGATCCTCTTACCTCTGCCTCTTAAGTACTAGGATTATAGTCATGAACCACCCACACCTAGCTGTTCATTTTACAGTTAATGGACACTTGGGTTGTTTCCATTTGGGGACTATAAGTAAAAGCTGCTGTGAACACTTTATAATTAAGAAAAGTTACAGACTATAAAGGGTACAAGTTGATGGCCTTTAGTACAATCACAATACTGTGCAGCCATTAAATTCTAAAACATTCCATCACCCCAAAAGAAACCCATACCATTCACTTCCCATTCTCCAGGCCTGGAGAGCATGAGTCTTTTTGCCTCTATGGATTTTCCTATTCTGGTAGAAAATCCCTTTGAAGCTCCTTACCCCAGATCCAGTATATCCTCCCTGACAATGTACCATTTTATTATGACCTCTAGCTTCAGGGATTAATCTTTTCTGGTTTTGACCTTCACCTAAATGGAATCCCACAGTCGTAACCTTTAGATATGGTTACTCTCATTCAACATTATGACTGTTGCTTGTTATCTCTGATGCATTTTAATAGCAATTCATTCTTTGTTGTTGCTCAGTTGTATGAATTAGCACTACAATTTGTTCATTACTGGATTTTTTTTTTTGAGGCAAGGTCCTGCTATATAGCCTAGTAGCTCACTCTGGCCTGGAACTCACCATTTATCCCAGGCTGGCCTCAAACTCATGATCCTCTTACCTCTGCCTCTTAAGTATAGATTATAAGTTCAGAACCAACCCACCCAACCTAGCTGTTCATTTTACAGTTTAATGGACACTGGTAGTTTCCATTTGACTATAAGAAAAGCTGCTGCGAACACTTTATAATTTAAGAAAAGTTACAGGACTATTAAAGGGTACAAGATTATTGGCCTTTTAGTACAATCCACAATTACTGTGCAGCCATGTAAATTCTAAAAAACATTCCACTCACCCCAAAAGAAACCCATACCATTCACTTCCCATTCTCCAGGCCTGGAGAGCATGAGTCTTTTTGCCTCTATGGATTTTCCTATTCTGGTAGAAAATCCCTTTGACTGACTCCAACTGGAAGTTACAATTTATTCATTACTGGATTTATAAATGGAATCGTAGACTATATAGCTGTTTATATCTGGCATATATCTGGCATATGTTTTAAAGGTTCAACCATGTCATTCATTTTTTTGGCTGAATAATATTCCATTATATGGCCGTACCGCATTTTGTTTATCCATTCATCAATTGATAGATATTTGGATTGTTCTCTCTTTTGACTATTACAAATAATGCTGCAATGAACATTCATGTACAGGTTTTTGTGAGACACATATTTTCAATTTTGGGGGATACAGACATAGGACTATAAACATTTTTATACACGTCTTTTGGTGGCACTCATTTCTCTTGGTTATGTGTCTGTAAGTGGAATTTCTGAGTCATAACTTTATCAGGTTTTACCAAACTGTTATCCAAAGTGGTTGAACCAGTTATCAGCACTGTATGAGAGTACCAGTTACTCCTTACCTTGCCAGCACTTGGCAATCCTTGCATGTTACCCTTTGGTGAGCATGTAGTGGAATCATTGTTTTCATTTTCATTTCTGTACTGGTTACAGATGTTGATCACTTTTCCATGTGCTCTTGGCTTTGTGAAATGTCTGCAATATTCAAATCTTTTGTCCATTTTTCTACTTGTTCACATATTCTTTTCTTTTTCTTTTTGATTTTTAGAGACAGCGTCTCTCTATATAGCCCAGACTGGCTTTGAGCTCACAATCTTTCTACTGCCCCAGCTTCCTGAGTGCTGAGATTACAGCTGTGTGTCACCACACTCCATGATCATTCATCTGTTTCTTATTGTTTATAGAAGGTGTCTAACATATGCTGGGTACATGCCTTTGATAGATTATTAAAAATATAAAAATACTTTCACCTAATATGTACCTTGCCTTCTCAGTGTATTTTTATTTCTGTTTTTTTTGTGGTACTTGAATTTGAACTCAGAGCTTCATGCTTCAAAGCAAGCACTCTACCAAAAGATTTATTTTTAAATTGAGGTAGAATTTACATAGAAGATAATGTGCAGATCTTAACTTTGTAATTCTTTTACAAATATAAACATCCATATAACTTCCACTCACCTCAACATATAGCACATTTCCATTTCTCCAGAAAGTATACTCTTGCTCACTTTTTTTTTTATAGGACTGGGGCTTGAACTCAGTTTCACACTTGCAAAGCAAGTGGCTCCTTAAGCCACACCTCTAGTCAGTTTTGTCCTGGTTATTTTGGAAATGTGGTCTCACAAAATATTTGCCAAGGTTGGCTTGAACCATGATCCTCTTACTCTCAGCTTCCTTAGTAGCAAGAATTTACAGGCGTGAGCCACATGTGCCCAGCTGCCAACTTCTTGTCAATTCTCATTCCTCTAGGCAACCAACATACTTTTATAACACTGTAGGCTAATTAGCTGTCAGTTTACTTACTATCAATTAATCATACAGCTTATGCTCTTTCTGGGCAAACTTTAGATATTTTCTACTGATCTATTTCTCAGATCTCTAGCCCTGCATGCTGTTGTATCCAGTTTGCTATTATAGTTATTCAATGAGTTGAGTTCTTAATTTCAGATATTGGGTATTTTTAAATTTTAGAATGTTTGATCTTTTTCTTAATTCATTCTAATTTTCTACTGAAATTTTCTATTTTTTAATCCATTTTGCTAACATTTTCCTCTATAAAATCTAAACATAGCTATACTGAAGTTCTTATTTGCTAACCAGGTATCTAGACCACTTGTATGTCTACTTTTATAGTATATTTCTCCTCTTGATTATTGGTCACATTTTACTCCCTTTTGCATATCTAATAATTTTTATTTGGGCTGAACATTGGTTATAATGCATTCATAGAGATCCTAGATGACTGTCTCACTAGACAGATGTCTCCTTTTTTCCCTCTTAGGCAGAGCACAGTAAGAGGCCAGTCATCTTAAACCAATTAATGCTCCAGAGTAATGTTAGGGCTGAGATTCAGTTCTAGTAGGATTTAGTCTAACTTTTGTTTGTTCCTATTCCTAATGTATGGTTCTCTTGGATTTTGGATTGATGACTTGGTTATATCTGTCTCTTCAGCCCTGAAAGTGTGTGGGAGATCGGCTTCTTCCTTTTGGAGGATTTCAGGAGGTTTTTAGCTGCCCTTTCCACCCTCCACCATGCCTATATATGCAAACAGCTTCAAATGTTTGGGAAATGTTTAGAAAGGAAGACCACTGGTCCTCCCCATGAGTTCTTTAAGCATCAATGCATCTTGGGAGATTTTAGTCTTTTAGAAGGTCCCAGCCTAGCCCCAAAATTCAGATATACCATGGGGAGACTTGGTATATGTTTAGAGTGCTTTAAATTTCTAATCTATTTTTCAAGCCTTTTTTGACAGACAAAAGGTTTGCTGATTTCTTTCTCATCTATGTCTCTCTGCCTAGTCCATCCCAAGCCCCATGATGGTCCCCAAATCAAGTACTTCTAGAGAAGAAAAGAGTTAAATTGTTAGTTCACTGTGGAGGGTCCCCTCAACCTTTGGAGGTCCATTTTACCTCATCCTTTTGTTTTTCTTTCTTTTTTTTTTTTTTTGGCAATACTGAGGCTTGAACTCAGGGCCTCATGCTTGTTATTAGCTCATCCTTACTGCACTTATGTTTCTCTAATTTGTTTTTAAAATGTGATTTATGTAATTTATCAATACTATTTGTTGCAGTGGAAGCATTGGGGTCCCATGACCTATTGCATCCTATTGAGGAACAGAAATTCAGATACCCAGCTTCAGTGGACTCAGGAAGAACCACAACTCAAGGAACACAAGAAAGGAAGAAGTGTAAGCATATGAGCGACAGCATATTACAAAGCACCTTGGAGAAAGAAGCCCCTGCAAAGCCACATGGTGGGATGTTGAGTGAGTGCAAAAGTAGAAACACAAGGTTAAGGACTTAATTTAAGAGATCTGACAACCCAAATCACATAGTGTAGAACCTAAGACGGGTGCTAGAAGAATTCTTTCCAAAGCATTTTCATAATCATGATTCAATAATCAACTGTTTAGAAAATGAATTTCCCAGTAACCTCTAGGAAGACAGGAATTTTGCCTGTCTTCTCTTCACTTTCATCACTATCACCTAAACACAGAATAAAGGCTTCCATTTGATAGATTATTAATTAATTATTATTTGACAAATTTTGGGTTTGTATAGTGGAAGTCAATACCACAACCCCCCATCAGTCCTCTAGAGTTGTATTCATATTAACTATAGGATAATTGTACTCATATTAACTATAGAACAAACACCATGAAATTATCACTCCAGAATCCTTTCTTTGGTTTCTAGATGTTCCCAGTGTTCAAATGTTTCAGCTGACTATCCCCCAGAATTCCAGCTCTGTCTCACTATGGAGGCTTCAACCTGTAACGGATCAGTAGATACTTCACCTGTCTTCTACCTGATGGGGATCCCCTCCCTGCCTGAGTCTTTCTTCCTTCTTGTGTTTTTTATTTTCCTCCTCTTCTATCTTCTCATCCTTATGGGTAATGCCCTGATCCTGGTGGCAGTGGTGGCAGAACCCAGCCTCCACAAGCCCATGTACTTCTTTCTGATCAATCTCTCAGCCCTGGATATACTTTTTACCACAACGACTGTCCCCAAGATGCTGTCCCTATTCCTGCTGGGAGACCACTTCCTCAGCTTCCCAGCTTGCTTACTGCAGATGTACCTCTTTCAAAGCTTTACCTGCTCAGAAGCCTTCATCCTTGTGGTCATGGCCTATGACCGCTATGTGGCCATCTGCTGCCCACTGCACTACCCCATTCACATGACCCCACTGACCAACACCACACTGGCAGCCAGTGCCTGGCTCACTGCTCTCCTACTGCCCATCCCAGCAGTGGTACAGACCTCCCAGATGGCATACAACAACATTGCCTACATCTACCACTGCTTCTGTGATCACTTTGCTCTGGTCCAGGCTTCCTGCTCTGACACAACCTCGCAGACTCTCATGGGCTTCTGCATCGCCATGGTGGTGTCCTTCTTCCCTCTGCTCCTGGTGCTTCTCTCCTATGCCCACATCCTGGCTTCCGTGCTTTGCATCAATTCCCAAGAAGGACGTTCCAAAGCCTTTTCCACCTGCAGCTCGCACCTCCTGGTGGTGGGCACCTACTATTCATCCATTGCTGTAGCCTACATGGCCTACAGGGCTGACCTGCCCCTCGACTTCCACATCATGGGCAATGTCGCCTATTCTATTCTCACACCAATCCTCAACCCCCTCATTTACACCCTGAGAAACAAGGATGTCAAGGCAGCCATTACCAAAATCGCATATCTCAAAACCCAGACAATGACATAAGTGTTTGACTTTTAAATGTAGCCAATTTTGCTCCCAGGACACCAAGGAACAATACTGGGCAGTACAATGCTCAGAGTGGAAACTCAATAAATATTATTGAATGACTAAGATATTGAATTTAAAATAGGAAAATAAAATTTCAGTAGAGCACAAAGCTCCAACAGTGATCTCCATACTTGGTCTAGGACTTTCCACTGGTTCAATGCAATAATGTTAATCTTTATAGGAATCTTAAAGTGCACAAAAATTTCACTACTGAATAATTCAATGAGCCTCTATTAAAGTAAAAGAAATTGAATGGCAAAACTCTTTATAAGCAAAATTTAAAAAAGTCATATTACAGGAAAGAACTATTTATAATATACAAAGAGCTCTTAAAATCTTAGAAGAAAAAAATCTAACATTTAAATACTAAAATGGAGTTGGGTATGATAGCACATGCCTGTAATCCCAGCAGGGGTTGCAGGAGGTGTAGGTAGGAAGATTGTGGTTGCCAGCCCCAAGCGGTAAGATTTAGACTTCAAAGCCAGCCAGCCTGGGATATATAGAAAGATCCTGTCTCAAAAGCAAAACAAAACAAATAAAATAGACTATGGCAAAGTGCCACTTTTCACTTAGTCAGATTAGCAAAAAACTCATATTTTTACAGTATGAATGTGGAAAAACAGAAGTTGCATTATTCCCTGTAAGGGTGCATATTGGTACAACACTACTGCAATACCTACCAAAGTAAATATGCACTTACCTTATGAAATAGCAGTCTCCTTTTTAGGATCTAAGTCAAACACTCCTTGGCAATCATGCCTTAGATTACGCCCTCATCAATAGGGATTGGTTGAATGTCTAGTTTTCCAATTCATGAACATGGTATATCACTCCATTTATTCAGCTCTTCTTTGATTCTGTTCATCCGTGCTTTGTAGTTTTTAGTGTAGGGATCTACCACATATTTTGTCTAAGGACATTTTTCTATTGGTGTATTAAGATTAGAGTTTTTAATTGATTGATGCTTTGAACATTGAACAAGCTGCATTATTGAAATGAATCCCATTTGGTTGTATTATATTGTGCTCTTTATATATTGCTGGGTTTGATTTGTGAATATTTGTTTAGGATTATTACAATAATGTTTATGAGAGATATTTTCCTGTAGTATTCTTATAATTTCTTTGTCTGATTTGGTATTAGGTTAATGTTGACCTCATAAAATGAGTAGGGAAGTTCTCCCTTCTCTTCTATTTTCTGGATCATATCATGTCAAATTGATTTCATTTCCCCCTTAAATATTTAGTACAATTTGACTGTGAAACCAGCAGGGCCTGAACTTTTCTTTTAGGGGAATTTTTAACCACAAAATAAATTTCTTCAATAGATACAGGAATTTTTAGCTACCTACTTCTTCTTGAGTGAGTTTTGGTAGTTTCTGAGTTTCAAGAAATTTGTTCATTTCACTTAAATTATATAATTTATGGGTATAGAGTTGTTTGTAGCATTCTCTTATAATTTTAAAGCCTGAGATTCCCCCTCTTTCATTCCTGAATTATTATTTTGCGTCTCCTATGTATTTTTCTTGGTCAATCTGGTTATAGGTTTATCAATTTTATTGATTTATGCAGGAATAAGCACTTAGTTTCATTGATTCTTCTCACATATTTTGGGTTTAATTTGATCTTTCTCTAGTTTCTTTTTGTTTATTAGCATATATTAATTGTACAAATGTGTTTCATTGTGATATTTCCATACAGGCATACAATATGCTTTGATCAAATTCACCCCCTCTATTAGACTTTCTTTTCCCTTCCCTCCTTTTTACAATTTTAATAGGTTTTATTATTCTCTTTTCATACATGCATATAGAGTGCTTCAATCATATTCATTCCCTCTTAACCCTCTCCTTTCAACATCCCCCAAAACAGTTCCCCTTTTACATTCATTTCTTTTTTAAAAAAAATCTATATTCTGCTTTGTTTTTGTTGTTGTTATTTATTTGTTTGTTTCTTGAAACAGGGTCTTGCTACGTACCTGGCTTTGAACTTGCGATCCTCCTGCTCCAGCCTCCTTAATGCTGGGAATATAGCATTCCCACTTCTGGCTTGGTTTTTTCTAGTTTCTTGATGTGGAAGATTAGACTGTTAATATGAGAATTCTCTAAAATAAACATTGGGCAGGGGGGTGTGGTGGCCCAAACAATGCATATACATGTGAGTAAATGTAAAAATGATAAAATAAACATTGAACTCTGGACATTTCCCACTGCTTTGGAAACTATAAAACTTTGACATGTTGCTTTTTCATTGTCATTTCATTCAACATGTATTTTTAATTTCCTTTAAGATTTCCTAATTAAGCTGGGCATTGATTGGTGGCTCATGCCTGTAATCCTAGCTACTCAGGAGGCAGAGATCAGGAGGATCACAGTTCAAAGCCACTCCCAGCAAACAGTTCAAGAGACCCTATCTCGAAAATACCAAACACAAGAAGGGCTGATGGAGTGGCTCAAGTGGTAGGGTTCCTGCTTAGCAAATGTGAGGCCCTGAGTTCAAGCCTCAGTACCACCAAAAAAATAAATAAATAAATCGATCCATGGATTATTTAGAAGTATTTTGTTTAGCGTCAAAATAATCAGGAACATTTCACAATTTCTTTCTTTTATTATTTTATATTTTAATTCCATCATGGTTCAAAAAATACTTTGTATTATTTTTATTCTTTAAAAAAAAATTAGGTAGAGTCTCACTATGTAGTTCAGGCTGGCCTTGGACTCTCCATCTTCCTCCCTCAACCTACCACGTAGTAGGATTACATGCATCACCACCATACCTGGCTCTCTTTAAAATTTTTTTTTTAATTTTGTTTAATGTTCCCAAATATGATCCATCTTGGCGAATGTTCTGAGTGTACTTTGAAGTGTATTCTGCTATTGCTCTGTGGAACAGTATATAAATGTCAGGTCTAGTCATTTGATAGTTCTATACCCTAACTGATTTTCTTTTTTCTGTTCTTTTTTCATCTTTATTTATTTATTTTTTTAATAAACCACATGGCAAAACAACACTTTATTTAATAAATGTATAGGAAATTACAATTTGAAAATTGCAAATACAGTACATATACATATAATTTGCTCTTAATTACATGGACAAACCCCAGCTTCAAAATCTAAAATCAATCATATGCAAAATACTTGGTTTCTGAAGGGGCATATGGAGGAGTATATACAATTTATTGAACTGTAATATGGCTTATTTAATAACATTTAGAGAGGCAGAAACTTTTCAAATATACAGTGTTTTCCAGGAGGAAAACTGACATACTGGCACATTTCAATTATATGCTCATGTATTTCAGAATATTCTTAATTATGCCATTTAAGTTGATTCTGTCACAGATTTAACTGGGAAAGTCTCCATAAATGTTTTCCAGTCTTAACAAAAATCAGAAAACATTTGCTGGTCCTCACAATGTGTTTGGAAGAGCAGCTTAAACCATCTGTAAGCAAGAACACAATGACTGGTTGACCTAAGTGCACACACACATAATTCAACACTGAGGAACTCCCACAATTTCTTCTCTCCAATTTGCATGCCCCCATAGCATCACAGCAACATACCCACTGGCAACCTCTAAATCAGATCGGAACCCCTGGCTGACAGGATTCACATGACCCAGCTGGAGTGAGGGTTTGCAAACAATATTCTGGCTACAGAGCTATTAGGTTTCACCAACCATCTGGAGATCAGATTTGCCTCCCCTCAATACAACGTTAGTGAGATGTCACCGTTTAGTTACAACTAAGCGTGGTTCAAAGACACACTGAACCAAATGAGCTAATCTTTTATTTGGGACACCTTCTGTAACTTTAAATTTACTAATGAAGGTCAGTAAATAGCAAAATCGCCTGAAACTTTAAAGATATGCAAATTCTGTAAGAACAGCTCACTGTGATGAACCAATTAAGATAAATACATAAAACAAAATAAATGTAGGTAAACCATGCTTATTTCAGAACAAATGATTATTTCCATGGCAATATTGTGAGTGGTTGTTTGAAAAATGCCACTCAGTGTGCTGACCATGATTCATACAGGTGTCGTGTCTCACATACTCTGAAATTCAGTGTGCAAAATCTAGATCAAGAACAACTGCCTGTTAAAAAGGTTCTTTCTCACTGGAAACACATTTGTAAGCGGTGCCTTTGTCCTGAAAATGTTTCCTCACATTAAATGAGAGATAAGATGATGCATCTGATTTGATTATGTCCATTCTGGGAAGATTTTACTGAAAACAGAGACTGCTACCCTGGGACACTGGGTGAAAGATAGAAGAACACTGAGATCATAAACAGAAACTTGTTTTAGAGAATGAAATAAAGCACCCAAAGTGGGAAAAAAATAATAAAATAAGAAATTTGGTGATTTGGCAAACAATACTGATGGGAGCTGTAGTTGAGAAAATCTTGCTCACATTGCATAAGGCATTGCAACTGGAAATGTATGTAGGAATTATAATAGCTTCTAGTTCTGCATTATCAAATCCCTCTGAAATATGCCTTCTTCAACTACATTTCCATTATATTTTTTTAAGGCAGCAAGATCATTAGTAAAACAAGAACTCTTCCTGAAACACATCAAAAGGCTTTATCTGGCCAGAGTTGTGAAACACAGGTAAATGTACACAAGTAACTCATTATTTGCAAATATTAATTAGTATACACAGCACTGAAGAACTGCAAAGTTTTTTTTAGCATATATTCATTGTACAGGGAGATTCATTATGACAATTCTGGATCGCCTTACATGGTACATTGGTTAGGTTGCCCTCACAATCTCCCCCTGTCAACCCTCCCCCTACCCTAACTGATTCTCTACCTACTTGTTTAATCAACTAGAGAGAAATCTCTAACCATAATTGTAGATTTATCTATGTCTCCCCCAATTCAACCAGTTTTTGTCTCATGTACTTCTAGGGGCTACTTTAGGAGTACATACATTTAAGATTATTAAGCCTGCTTGGATAATTTCTTTATGATATGTCATTGT